GAAATGGTTCCAGGAAGAAATGAGTTTCAGGAGCCACTAGCAAGGATTGTTGCTCTATCACCACAACAATGGGCAATCAATGCCCTTGCAGCCACTAAAAATGAATTTTTCCTACCACCAAGTATGTGTTGAATACATAGTTTCCTTTTATTCCATTATTACATGTTATAGACTGCTCTTCATCACTCATAAGCATTTTCAACTTCAACAAAACTGCAAATGTTGGCTGGTGGTGCCAAAAAGTTTCCTTTCAAGAGACTAGACTAAAGACTCCATCATGGGATATTTCCACAATCCATCACCAATTAAAAGAAACCATAGTAAAACAATGAACTATGTAAGGCTGACTCTACAAACATCAAAGATGGAAATGTGTTAAATCCTGCTCTAATCCTCACAGAAATATCCCCTCTTGTTGCAAAGCCATAAAACCAGGAAACCTGTAGAGATATAAGACTTTGCTTACAAAAAAGACAAGATCATTTTCAGAGACATGACGTATCACCACACAGAACCAGTCAGAGTACAACATACAGTATGCTTACTTGGAGGCCTTGCACCATCCAAGTTGTCACTACTGACAATAAGTACACAAGAATCTTAAACAGCCACAAACAATGGGACCTGCAGTGCCAACAACAATAACATAGAAAAATGGAAAACAAAAACAGAAAGAGACAAATTAAGGTTGTTGCAACTGGCCATCAGGCAGGAATAAGAGCTGACAGGAATTGCAATTTCACCTGAGACAGTCACCAATTCGATGTTTCACATCTGTCTAAAAGCAAACCTAAACAACTTATTGTAAGAGCAAAGAGGAAAGAGTGTGCTGAGATTCCTCCCTGGATTGCATCCACTTCAAACAACCTATGATTTTGTGCTAAAACATATCAAGAACACTGGGAAATGTTGGTAGTTGATATCTACTGTATATCACATTGTTAACATCCACTCCTGGGTTTGTCTTGGATAGAAAAAATCTCTCAAAGGACATCTAGCAACTATCACTATACTGGTCGTATTGGCAATTAGGAGATCATGTGCAAAAAACATCTCCATGACAACTGCAATAAGAGATGTAAAAGGAAAGTCTGGATCGGCAAGTTCCAACATTTGTTAAGCAGGTTAGAGAAAAAGCCACAAACAGCACATTACAGGAAGACCAAAGTGAGTGCAAGAAGTCAAAAGGCATTTTTGAACTGGTTACCTTTACAACATACAATTAACTTAATCATATATAATTAATCGATTCATTGACTTAGCTATTTTTCACTTAGTTGTCTATTTTAATTTGTATGCTCAAGGTAAAAATGCAATTAGTTGAAATCAAGATAATCTCTAGTTGAAATATCGACATCAATGTTAATTGTGTGCAAGTACTTGTGAAGCGAATGCCATTAAATTGCACCGCAGTCTTGAGTATTTCATTGTGTGTTGGATTAAGATTTGATACAGATGCTTTCAATCTCTTCCTATGGCTTACTTTTATAACCTAGACTTGCAAGATTTTCTTCAGTTCCATTAAGCATCTGGAGGGGCAAACACAGCTGTCAAAAAAAAAAACAGCCTAAACCAACTCAATATTAAGAATAAGAAGTAGTGACTGCAATAGAGCATAACGACATGACAGAAACTAAAGTCACCACAAGCAAAATCTTTGGAACATGCGCTGTATTCACTCTTGACGATGAAGTGGGCTTTCTACATGTGGCACAAGAGAAAACCTTGACTTAAAGTTGATGACCATCATAAAACTTGGTGCAAAGCAAGCCAAATTAGTTTTCAAGATGTGTTTTAAATGATACTGTTTTCAATGAGTCAGAGACTGCACAGTTATGAGCATGACTTGAATTTTTCTTCAAAGCATTAGCTTTCACTCAATGACCAAATGTACAAGTAGCCTGACACTGATTTATCTTTCTTCAATACTAATTTAGTAACAAAAAGACATTTTTTACATTTTAACCATAAAATGGAGAGTTTTGTTGATAAACAGCAGAATATTTTTACACACTGTGAATACCAATAATTGCATCATAAGTGGTGTAAGATATCCCTGTATCCCTCATAAACAGGGCAAGATTAAGTTACCACTGATAGTGGCTCCTGGTTTGATAGAAATAAAGTGTTGGAAGCACCAGTGCATTACAGGTTGTTTCAAATTGGAAAAGATTCACAACACTGGGAAGAAGTAGGCAGTAGTAAGAAAACAGGTCATTTACAAAACAGTTTTGATCTATTTTAATCTTCTTTGGGACTTTTCATCCCATTCTTATTGACTTTTTGTGTCAGTGTGTTGCAACTAGACACCCTGCAAGAGCCATGAGATTGCATAATTGCTTCATGTAGGACAAAACAGCTTTTTTAATGATAGGTTGATATTTTGATGAAAGATCTGTCCTGTTCAGTTGGAAATTCTTATTTGGTGAGCAAAACTCTTTAAGCAGATGAAATATTTGGGACCACTTGAATTCTAAAAAGCAAATGTTAAAAGAAAATTATTATCAATCATTGTAGACTGTTTAAGGAGGGCCCAAGGTGCTGATGCAAGGTTTCTTTGGTGAGTAAACTGGTCTTTTCTACGTTAATAATACAAAATGGACTTTTGATCACACACACAACATTTCACCTTTATAGTCAACCTATTGTATTTTACTCAGCATCATTTTTCTTTTAAGCAACATGCGGTCAGCCCTACACAGCCAGTATATTGGCTCATATACAAAAAAGCAGGATTTATATTTTCCTTTGTTTTCAATTTTTAAATCATTTGTGTTTGTTTAGTCTCCATTTCATTTTATGGGCCTAAAATTGTAACACCCCAAATATGATTGGAATGTCATAAATTACAACCTTTTATCTATCTTGCCTCCTTCTATATTAAGTTCTTCAGTAGTCTAAATTTGTTTTAGGTTAGATTCTGATTGAGTCAAGATACTCTCCTGAGCATAATTTTCTTAGAAAACTCAGAACTTGTAGTTTAATGTTAAATTGACTATCAAACAACTTCTTTGAAAACTACTTTGGTACACCAGTGCACCCACTTACATCTAATAAGAATTTGTTCCAAGTGGACTTAAATTGCAGCAAAGCTGTAAGCATGTAATTATCTAATAATACATTTATTTTATTCTGCACATATACAGTGGAGACCTTTTTTTTCAAAATATATTTCATGGCCTGCATGTAAAATCAAATAAAAGGTTCCATATCAGTAAAACAATCATAGAATTAGGTCATATTAACCCTTGGTGTTCTTGAAAAGTCTCTTTTGTCAAATTCCATTACTTTAGAAGCCATGCACATCAAATCTAGAATCTACCAGGCCAACCAAAAAAGTTCCAAAAGACAAGAGAAAAAAACATGGGCATTATCCAACCAATCAGATAGAACTTCCACATTCAAAATTTCAGAAACCAATTTAATCTCAAAGCACACATCAGCCACCCACCAGCATCAAAAAAACATACCACTCCTGACCTAAAGGAACAAAATTTTTTTTGAAATGCTAATGTGCCATTCCAGAAAAAGGTTTAAAATACCCAACAGTCAAAAGTTATTTCACCAAAGACTCAAGCCAACTTAATACTAAACCCAACACAACATGAAGCAAACCATGCCTTGCACCTGGAAAGCACCCACATGTTTTCAAAATAGTCAAAATAAAGTAGAACCTCCACTAACTCAAACTCCCAAGGGAAACAAAATGGTTTGAGTTAGGAGGGGGTTCAAGTAGGTTTCAATTGGTTGTTGCTTCTCATGTTTAATTCTTTTTTATTTTGGTGTAACAACTCATTGTGTTTTTTTTTTTTGCTCAGTAGAGGATCTGCAGTGCAATACTGATGAATCATCTTTACTGGAGAATTATACACATTTGTAAACAATGGAACTTTAGTATCTGGCCAAAAAGCCATTTTGCTTTATGTAGTAGGAAGTAACAACCCTGTAAGAAGTGGCTGTCATGACTATATATCATAGTGTAATCATAGTTTAAATTAGTATCTCCTCTGTGTTTCAGAACTCACTTTATCATCAGCACAAACCATTATCTTGGTATGGCTGGACACAGCAACCATTAATGATTTCCACCTTATCAAGGATCTACAACCCAATTGCTAAAACTCAGTCTGAAACTACTCAGGAACAAAGACAAAACTTCTACAGACACAACAGCACACACTGTACATGCGATTAAACAACAAGTTAAAAGCAAAGAAAATAAATATCTAAGTATATGCTTTTCCTAGTTGCACAGAAAATACATACATAAAAAAGAACAAGTCAGCAAGTGCAGGAGAAGAGGGGGAAAAAGTAACAAATATGCATTTAAATTGTTTAACACACATTCTACACTGTGCAAAATTGCACATGCATCCCCATCACACATTTTAAATAGCAAGATCCAATAGCATACTAAATGATTAGCTCCTTTGTTTCCTTCATGGAAGTAATTACTGTTGCAGGTTTATTTCCAATTGTTTAAGTCTGCAGAAAATATTGACTAGGTTGAGCCATAAATACTGATCTGAAAAAGGTTGATGAGTGGTATGAATTCAATCAAATGAAAAGAAATCATTCAAAATATCAAGCCATTACTTTTGGAAGGGTCGAGAGAAATCCTGTGTTGACCTGTTGAAGGTAACATTATCCCTATTCAAGATGAAATGGAACTCCTTGGCGTCACTATCCACAACAAGCTTAGGTTTAAGAGACAGATTTGTAAAATCTGTCGTAAAGTAAGTCAACAGGTTGCTGATCTCAATCGTCTGAAGAAAATATTGTCTTTTGAACTGAGGATAGATATACATCATGCTTTCATTGCACCGCATTTCAATTACTGCTCAGAGTCATGGCATCGCTGTGGTAAAAGAGGTTCTAACAAACTTGAAAAAGTCAATGAACGAACCCTTTGCTTTGTGACCTGTGACAAGTCAACCACATACGAAACGTTGCTAAAACAACTAAACCTGCTGTCTCCATTTAAGCAAAGAATTGTTAAAATGGCCACCGGTGTCTACAAAGCTATCCATGGGTATAAAGTCCCAACAGGAATAGGAGAGCTATTGCATGAACGATCAACTAATTATAATCTTAGAGGAAAACACATCCTTGAGCTACCCAAAGTAAATACAATCACCTATGGTCTTAAATTGTGGTGTTATGCTGCAGCCAAGATTTGGCACACTCTTCTGGATCAGTTTTGTGCCGCTGATAAAATCAGAACATTTAAGAACTTGATGTCTATGTTTGACTTCTCAAATTTTACATTTTAATCGTGATTTACTCTTAGTTTTAATAATTTTTTCATTATATAAATATAGTTTTATAGAGGTTTTTATGAGAAATCTCTTTCTATTATTATTTCTGGTTTATTTATTTCCTTTTTATGGCATTTCTGTAAAGTAGCTAATTAGCTAAGAACATTTGACCACATTAAATAAAGATAGTTGTTATTGTTGTATTGTATTTCCATAGCAAAAAGCCAAAAATTACACAATATCCTGACTGCTGCCCTTAGTTTGAGAGATGACTAAATGCCAAATAAAATGCAACCTTGAAGTAATATGTTATTGCTGTATTTTTTTGGCAGTTACATGTGTCTTGTACATTGTAATTGTTTGATTCTAATACTTGGTCACAATACATAATTGCTTAATGATTATAACTTAAGATAACACAGAGCATCAAAGAGGCAGAAGTAGAAATTATTACTAGAGGAAGCCAGCAGAAAGCCCTTCAAATGTAGCAACTTTCGTAAGATAAAGTATCATAGTCATTAAAAGGAAAACCAAAATTTAAAGAAATGATTGGAGTTAAATTGTTCTTCCAGTGGAGGAAAATTATTTTGAATCATTTCTTCCCAATTCCAGCATTCTAGAAAAAGAAATGTTTTCATACCCCTCCCCTTCCCCCTAGTTTCTCCTAGTGTTCATACACAAATGCAGCCTTGAGTTAAGGACTCAGTCTACAAAACTCTCTAACAGTCATAGACTGCTAATCACTTTTTTTTATCCCTTTTACAATGGAAGATGCATGAGGGATTCAATCTTCTATCAATATCTTCAGGAGGAGATGTAGAGCACTATTCATTGAAAATATTTTTAAAGTTGATTGGAAGGATGGAGATGACGAATGGCATCATAGGGCAAATGGAAGGAGTAAAAACGGAGGGAAAGGTGGAGCTTGACCATGAAAAAATGAATCTTCTTAAAAGTAAGTTAATGTTATGATAACTTAAACTTATACAAGTACTATAGAATGGTTGTAAAACTAAGTTTTCAAACTTGTTTGTGGTCACTAGAGGACACATTTCTATTTATGCTGTCATTGGTCCATGCTACAGTAAATGACTCCAGTTAGTGGTTGTTTTATTTGTAAACCTTAAAAAATTAATTCAAACTATTTGGCCTGAGGCTGTTGCCACCTCAGTTAACATGGTACCTAAAGGGTTTTGTTACCACTTTTATCAAAGTTGTATAGTGCATACAATTAGTTGCAAACCCTTGGAAACCCACACGTCTCATTTTTCACATGGGGTTTTGTTTTGGGAACAGAAGAGTTGTTTATTATAATTTTCCCCTGACAAAAAAAATCCCGGCTTTAATTTTTGGATCAAAATCCCTAAAACACTTTTATACAATAATTTTCTTTGTGCTAACTGTGTGGCTATAGAACTGAGCAGTCAAATTTAAAGTTCAGCATTTGTGTAAAAGTTTGTTCAACAATATGTAATATCACAATGTACAGCCTTGAGAGGGCTTTGAGGGTAAATTTAATTCCTTAGTGGCCATCCTAATTTTACCTGTCCCCTTCACGTACATATTTTATAGGAAAAGACTATACATAACCATGTATAGTTACACCGAGCCACCAAAATGTCACAACCCTCTATAATCTACCTGGCTTACAAAAGTAAAGCATTCCCTTTTTATCTAGGACCCCCTTTTGCATGTCTACTAAATGGAATGCACTGTTTTGACTTTTGTGTTCAAAATGTGATGGTGCTGTAAAAAGGATGTGAAGAGGAGGTTATTCTGTTTAAGTTACTCCAAAAAAGTAGCTGGTCTAAACTCTTTGTGACATAAAATAATAAAATTGCAATGTTATGATTACATTAATTTTGTTTTTCTAAATGTAAACTCATTGTTTTATCTTTCAGGGGCCATATCAGTGAAATTTAGTTCAGATACCTTTACTAAGAAGTTGCCGCTAATTAGGCAGTGCTGCAACCAGAAATGCCCAAGTGTGAAAAAACTCCTTGTTAAGAAAGAAGCAGCAGCAGCAGCTGCACCAGCTCCAGAGCAAGATTTGCCAAGGCTGCCTGAAGATTAAAGTTGACACTACTTAAAAATAATGTTCACATCCTGTTTGTAATTTTTGATTGCAATTTTTAACTATGGTATATTCAACAGCCAATCATGATCAAAATGTCGAATTTACAATTAATGTGATGGTATGCAACTTAATTTAAAAATTAACATTGTTTAAGTTTAACCCTTTAAGCTGCGATAGAGCCATATGGCACTCTTGCATAACTGCATCTTATTCCCGAGAGTGCCATAGGCACTCTGAGACCTGTATGTATTTTGACCGATAAAAAGACCAGTTATATTGTTATTAGGCAGTTCTATTGTATTTCAACCAATGGGAAAGAGTGTAAGATTTGATTTAATGCTAAAATTGTCACTATGTTTCTCTGAGCATCATGCTGAAAATCGCAGGTCTGGTGAGATGGCAGCTTTGAGAGATAGTGAGAGCGAAGAGGGCATGTTTTTAGGGTTTACCGAGGAAGATCAACAATCCATTGCTGAGTTAAGACAAGGAGGAATTGTAGATAGACATGAAAGCGACTCAGAGTCAGATATTTCCGTCTCTTCTGTAGCAACTGAAGACCTTTCAGACTTCACAGACTCCGAAGGAGAAAAGATTGAAGAAACATGGAATGTCAATGAAGACCCCATTGAGGTTTTGCCATTTTCTGTGGCCACTGGCCCAACTTCTGGTGTCGCAGAGAATGGAACTGCAAAAAAATTTTTTACATATTTAATGTTTCAGAATACCTTATAGAGCTTATTGTCACCAAAACTAACTGCTAGACACAAGTGCGTATTACTATAAAGCCAGACCAGGAATGGTTAGAGACAATACTCCATGAAATGAATTCCTTTATCCGTCTTCACATACTCCTTGGTATCAAACAGTTGCCTGCAAAGCGAAGATCCACTACTTGGTGCTCCAGCAGTACAAAATGTAATGTCAAGTAATTGCTTCGACAAACTCTCCAAATACTTCCACCTAAATAACAGTGCAAATCAAGTGCCTCATAAAAATCCTGCACATGACAAGCTTTTTAAAGTACAACCAGTTCTTGATCATGTCATTCAGAATTGTGAGATATAACTGAAACCAGAAAAGGTTAAACACAGGAAGACAACATTTTGCAGAATGGGCTGCCAGTGCTGCAGCAAGCGCATTTGTTTGGTGTGCTTTCCAAACCACATTGGTGACCTATTCTGATGTGTCATGAGCACATGAAATTCAAACTAGTAGACCAGGAGATTTTTCATAAATTTCTTCAATGATTAGGACTTGAGACATTGCTAGATTTTCTGTATATTTTTTTTATCATGTTATTCATTGAATTTTTTTTTGGTAGATTTTGCTTGCGTTTTAAAGTTTTGGCTACTTCATTGCAAAGAAATTGCCAACTATAGTGTAAATAATTGAAGTTTTCTAAGTTGAACTATTTCCAGGTCACTCAAATTCACTCGACAATGAACTGTTTGCTGTCATTAAGGCCTAAAAATTAAAGATTATTTCTTGCTGAATACTTTTTGTCTAAGTGTTTTGTCTTTTGCTCTATAGTTTTTGAGATAAACAATATTATTGAAGACATGGTAAAAACAAGACATTTAGGTCCTGCAGTGCCAGTTGAACTCTGGGAATAGGGGTTTAAGTTTCCTTTGTTTCCTGTGGGGCTTAAAGGGTCTAACCCATTGACATCTGATGCACCCTCATGCGCCTGGAAACAAAACCCCTCTGAAATTCCAATGCACCCAGATGCACCTTGTCAGATATGGCTTGTTTCCATTGGCTGTGGCTTAGAAACAAAACTCCCCTGGGAAGCATGACATGCAAAAATTAAGCTTTCATTTTAGACCAAACTCATTATTCCATGTCCACTGAGCGATTTTCTCAAATTTTTCCACAATACGTCTTAGGCTTAGACGTGGTTTCTGGAAGAATTTATGAAAGTCAATTTTTATCTGATGAAGAGCTAGAAGTCTTTGCTGGTTTTACCATCAAAGAAAGCAACAAAATGGGTCAAGCTCATCAAACACAGCAAGAACAAAACTTGCTTTGCAATGTGGATGGCAAGATGGAAGACTGTTCAGACCAACGGTGACAAGAAAGGGGAAGTGATCTACTTGGGCAAGAATCTGACAGACAGTGAGCTATTTTGAAGAAAAGGTCTGTTATTATGTTCCTTGGACTCTTGGAGAGCCCTACTTGGATAATAATCGGTACTTTTTCCTGGACAATTTCTTCACATCTGCTGATTTGATGTGGAACTAGCAAACAAGACACATCTATGCTTGTGGCACCATTTGCACTAACAGGAAAGACTACCCTTCTGACCTAAGGGGAATGAAGCTAATTCTAGGCGAAGTACAAATCCGTCAGATTCGGAATTTAGTTGCCACAATGTGAAGAGACAGACATGTCATGTCTCCAGTATCGACCAACACTTCCCCTGAGCCAGAAATTCATTCAATGCAGCAAGTTGTTCACAGGCGTCAGAGACAAGTTGTCCCACCTGATGCGATGAAAAAAGTTGTGGATCTTATTATGGAGGAATGAATGGGGTCGATATAAATGATGAGTGTCTAAGCTATTATCCACCTGGGACAACTTCTCGCAAATGGTGAAAGTACTTGCTCTAGTTTTTTGTCAACTTGTTGCTGGCGAATGCACACATCCTAAAGAAACTAGCCGGCCAGAAGAAGTGATCCTAACTTGACTTTCGCCAAGAATTAGTGAAGCTTCTTATTGCTCCCTACAATGGATATAAACGTCTGTCTAATTTTGAAACATGCGCTGTGACAATGAAGGAAAACTTAAGTGGCCATTTTCTGGGGGAACTGGAGGGCAGGAAGAAAGCTTGTGCTATGTGCACAAAAGTTGGCTGAAAAAGTAATGAAGGCAGCACATTCGAAACATCTTATGCATGTGAACAGTGTGACGTTCCTTTGTGTCACCAAATGTGGGGTGAACAATCATGTTTTGCCAAGTGGCATAGTGGAAATTTGTAAGAAATAGAACCTTTAAGTAGTGTGCTACAGTCATTTTAGAACAATTTGTGATCATAGCATTTTTTAATTGTAAAAACTATTGGTACAAGTCCCGCTTTGCAAGCAGTTATGGATGAAAACAACAACCCTGATTGTTGCTGTCCGAAAAAAAAATTATTGTTAACATTTGCTGCGAGTGAACAAATATGTATTGTTAAAAGTGAAACTTTTCATTTAGGCATAAACATTGGTTTCTTCTTACTGTTGACTCACAAAAAATAATTTTACAGCTGCGCCTTGTTACATGTTGTAATATGGCAATGGTAGCAAATTCAAAATTGACCCAGGTTAGAAAGCTGAGGATCCTTTTGTTGAGGAGAAATTTGTGATGTTTTTTGGTGTTGTATTTGTGGGAAAGCATTTATGTAATTCTTATGGAATAAGAGTACAAAAAAGAGCTATCATAATGATAAATACTTTTTTAAGCTGAAGGCAACACTGCTAACAACTCACCGTTCATCATGAAGTTCAGTCAGTTCTCTAGCTTTAGAATAATTTTTGAGAGAGCCTGATGATCAAGTTGAAAATAAAATTTGATAGGGGAAAAGTATATCATGTAACATGCAACTTTGTGAAATTTCCCCTTCAGTAGAGTAAATTGTAGACATTAAAATCTTAAATCAGTTTAGCAGTGTGTGTGTTCACTGTGGCAGCCATTTTCTCTGGAATTTCAGGGCGTGGTCTGAGCTCTAGGGGTGTGGAACTCGATGTGAGGCTGCAAATAACAGTCGGTCCTGGGACAAATGTCCGGTAAATTTTGGGTTTTGACCGGTGAGAGCTGAGCCTGGTCGGATACCTTACCGGGTGTTTTTGCTGCAAAGGAAGTAAAAAACTTTTCTTGAAGTTTTGGCCAAATATGACACAAGTTTATTTTTTCATTTTATTCTGTACTTAGAATTAATTTTATCATGCAAAAATGTCAAGTTGAACTATAAACATACTTCATTGGTCAACCTATGTGTTAATTTGAAACATTTTGCAGCAGCATTGGAAAGATTGTCAAGTCTGATTTCGTCAGAATTACGTTCAACTGAAAAAATATAAAAATCTGAGCTCTCATGTTATTACTCGTTGTCTATAATTATCTGCAAGTGTTGTTTCAGTTGTAATTAGACCTGCGGTTAAAATGTTCTGCAAATCGCATACAGAGGACAAATTCTCACGTTTTTCTGGATGCAATCACTTTCAAAAACTAGAAAAACTCGAAAACATAACCAATGTTTTTCTAGTCCATATGATTGCAATTCCGTTTTATAGCTCTTAACAACCAATTTCAGTGCAGTCCCCAGACCCGCGCCACATTTTTTTCCCGAAACATCATTTGCCTGCTGATTATTCGCCCAAGTGTACTGACAGTAAATAATTTTATTCCACAACTACAGCTGTTAACAGTACTTTTAAGTTGTCCGAAATGGCTTTGCTTTGCTAAACCATCTGAATAAAATGCCATAAAAACAAAAGGTAAAATAATCTTAAGCTCAGTGAGCCATAAACATGTGGCACAACTTTTGTCTGGTTTTATCAACTTCGTATGAGGTTAAACTTCTGTAGAGATTTGTAAGCCATTCAGTTTCATCCACTTCTCAAACACAGAAGGCTCGAAAATAAAGTTTATGTCCCCCAAAATATTTTTAAAAGTCTCTTATCAAATTTGTGCAGGCATGAAATTTATTTTTTGCTACTTTTATAGTGATCGCCTTAAATGTACAAATTAGGCATGCTTTTTAGTCATGACAACCTCCAATTCCCAAAATAACTTTCATTCATGGGAAACTTGTTACGCGGGAAAATATGGAATACACGTGTGATCAGGCGAAAAAAGACAAAGTTTGATATAACAGCGTGACCGTAGATTTGTGTTTTTGCCGGGGAAAAACATTATTATTTCTCTCTTACGCCTCAAGTAACAGATCCAAACTCGAGAATCCCTTGCACTTATCAAGGTGTGATTGGAAGCAAATCTTCACCTGTAAAGAAAAGGCCCACAAAGGAGAACATAACCAATTTTTTTTTTCAAAGGTTGATGGACTGCCCCAAAAATCAATTAAAAGACCAAATGATGAGACAAGACCAGAAAGAAGAAGCAGGCTTGAAAGGTGTCAGTGCCAAAAAGATGGATGCCAATCAGGGTAACTTTGAAGCTGCAGTGAAGCCTGACTCTGCTAAGATAGCATCAAGAAAACTCACCTGTTCTACAGTGGAAAGGTGGAAAACCCAAGACCTGGTACTGTACGAAGCAGGTTCTTGGCTAACCTATGATAGCGAGAAAACTAAAAGGGGACATCATTGTGC